GGGCCCACCAGAGGATATCGGGCCCTCAGGCCACCCTCATGAAACCTGTTTCTGATTGTTTAGTTAGAGACATTCACACCAGTGGCCTGCTGGAAGTCATTTTGTAGGGCTCTGGCAGTGCTCATCCTGTTCCTCCTTGCACAAAGGAGCAGATACCAATCCTGCTGATGGGTTAAGGACCTTCACACATCATCACTCTGTCATGCTGACTGAGTTAGAATAATAGACTGGACGCTGTAAAAGGAGTGGTGCTTGAACTCATTGTTCTTCCTCTGTTAAATATGGTTACCTGCAAGGAAACTCGTACAGTCATCATTGCTTTGCACAAAAAGGGATTCACAGGCAAGGATATTGCTGCTACTAAGATTGAACCTAAATCAACCATATATGAGATCAACAAGAACTTCAAGCAGAGTGGTTTAATTGTTGAGAAGAAGGCTTCAGGGCACCCAAGAAAGTCCAGCAAGTGCCAGGACTGTCTTCTAAAGTTGATTCAGCTGCGGGATTGGGGGACCATCAGTGCAGAGCTTGCTCAGGAATGGCAGCAGGCAGGTGTGAGTGCATCTGCACACACAGCGAAACAAAGACTTTTGGAAGATAGCCTGGTGTCAAGAAGGGCAGCAAAGAAGCCACTCTCCAGGAAAAACATCAGGGATAGACTGATTTTCTGCAAAAAGTACAGGGATTGGACTGCTGAGGACTGGGGTAATTTTCTCTGGAAAAATCCTTGTCTGGAGAAGAAACAGTGAGCGCTACCATCAGTCCTGTGTCATGTCAACAGTAAAGTATCCTGAGACCATTCAGGTGTGGGGTTGCTTCTTAGCCAAGGGAGTGGCCTCACTCACACTTTTGCCTAAAAACACAGCCATTTTTAAAGAATGGCATAGAAATCCTCCGAGAGCAACTTCTCCCAACCATCCAAGAACAGTTTGGTGACGGATAATGCCTTTTCCAGCATGATAGAACACCTTTCCGTAAGGCAAAAGTGATAACTACGTGGCTTGGGGAACAAAACAATGAAATTTTGGGGCTATGGCCAGGAAACTCCCCAGACCTTCGTCCCACTTGTGGTCAATCCTCAAATTCATAAATTCTGACAAACTCCAAGCATTGATTATGCAAGAATGGGCTGCCATCAGTCAGGATGTGGCCCAGAAGTTGACAGCATGCCAGAGCACATTGCAGAGGTCTTGAATAAGAAGGGTCAACACTGCAATATCTTTGCATAACTGTAACTATGTAACTATATGGAGGCCAGGCATTCAGGATGAAACGTACCGCACATGTCTAGAGTTGATAACTTAAAAAAAACAACTTTTATACCTTCCTCAGGAAGCAGAATATACAGGGCATGCTAGTGAAAAAAAACAAGCCAACCTCAATGCACTGTTTAATTGGGCAACAATGTGGCAAATGAGGGTTAATGTTGATAAATGTAAGGTTATGCACTTGGGGGCTAAGAATATGCATGCATCATATATACCTGGGGGGGGGGGGGGGGGGGGGGAGTATAACTGAGGGAATCAATGATGGGGATGGACAGACATTGTACTGGGGAATGATGGGGGTGGACAGACATTGTACTGGGGAATGATGGGGGTGGACAGACATTGTACAGGGGAATGATGGGGGTGGACAGACATTGTACAGGGGAATGATGGGGGTGGACAGACATTGTACAGGGGAATGAAGGGGGGTGGACAGACATTGTACAGGGGAATGATGGGGGTGGACAGACATTGTACTGGGGAATGATGGGGGTGGACAGACATTTTACTGGGGAATGATGGGGGTGGACAGACATTGTACAGGGGAATGATGGGGGTGGACAGACATTGTACTGGGGAATGATGGGGGTGGACAGACATTGTACTGGGGAATGATGGGGGTGGACAGACATTGTACTGGGGAATGATGGGGGTGGACAGACATTGTACAGGGGAAAGATGGGGGTGGACAGACATTGTACAGGGGAAAGATGGGGGTGGACAGACATTGTACAGGGGAATGATGGGGGTGGACAGACATTGTACTGGGGAATGATGGGGGTGGACAGACATTGTACTGGGGAATGATGGGGGTGGACAGACATTGTACTGGGGAATGATGGGGGTGGACAGACATTGTACTGGGGAATGATGGGGGTGGACAGACATTGTACAGGGGAAAGATGGGGGTGGACAGACATTGTACTGGGGAATGATGGGGGTGGGCAGACATTGTACAGGGGAATGATGGGGGTGGGCAGACATTGTACAGGGGAATGATGGGGGTGGGCAGACATTGTACTGGGGAATGATGGGGGTGGGCAGACATTGTACTGGGGAATGATGGGGGTGGGCAGACATTGTACAGCGGGGATGAGACAGATATTGTGTATAGGTGGATGTAACAGATGGACCGACATTGTACAGAGTGCATGATGAGGATGAAAGGACATTTTACAGAGGGTGGCTGGTGGACAGTCCAGTGCATACATCAGTGACTTTGTACACAATCCTGCCTGACAGAGCTGGTAGTGGGACCAATTGAAGGACTCTGCTCAGTCCTTGACAGGCTCTCGCACATAGGTGGATGGAGCAATGCGGCAATTCAATCTCAAATCCAGTTCACTTCATAGTGAATACAGCCGAGTGAAGATTCTCAGCTTTTTAGTAAATCATCCTCACTGCAGAGGCTATGGAACATGAAAGTCTAAGCGAGCTTTCAGATAAAGTATGGCACCGCACCCTTCCTTGACCCCCTGAGCTAATCTACACCAACATCACAGCTGCTTACATATCTCAGTGAAACAGCCATGGAAGGTTCCATCATGCCAATGTGACTATTGTCCTCATGATGGCAGGCCCCTCCAGTGAACCATCTCTCCAATCCCAGCAGACTGTCCTATATACAGTAGGCTCCCTGTGCAGGCATGGTAGAGGGTGAAAATGGGCTGCAGTCTTATTCAGGTGAGTTAGAAGCTGGATGGCATATTTCGTGTCATTTAACAGTAACATTTCTTATACCAGGGGCTTGATGAAGAGGAGGGTTGAGGGTCCATTTATCTATAGGTCAGCTTTAAAGCAGAACTAAAGTCAAATATAAAAAGTTTACAAGCAGGCAGGCTATTTATTGCAGACGTTATGTGCAATGTCTGTTCTGCAAAAAATAAACTTACCTGCCTGCTTGCTGTGTTCTGTAGAATGTACACTGGGCTGCACATGAGCAGCTCCGTTTACTGCGCATGACTGGCAGTTATGCCATTCTTCACCAGTCAATCAAGACTTTATTCCTGCTTTAAAGTAAGCCTTTCTGGGGCCATGGTCCATCCTTTTCTGAAGATGCAGGTTAAGTTCACCGGTTTTAAGAAAAATTAAAAAGGTGAACAAACTTTAAAGTGTCAGTAAACCAACAACAGTAAAATCACCCTGTATATGCAATAAATCATGCTTGATATACTCACTGTGGAACCTAAGGGGTTAATCCTCTGCATTGTGTAAAAATGTTGTTTGATCCTGTCTTCTCTAATTCTCCCATTCTTTCATTGCCCCCCTCTTATCTCCTGATAAGACATATTGTGTGGAGACACTGCACATGCTCAGTTTGGTATGTATTGCTAGAGTGTTTTTTTTTTTCCTGGGAGAGTACGTGATCAGCACAGGGCCAATCTGTCCAGACAGAGGTCATGGATTCTGCATCCTCTTAGAGCAGAAAGAAAACTCCTCCTACAAGCTTTAACCAGTGCTCTGCTGAACATTGACAGAAGTCACAAGACTGCACTAACTGCAGATGAGAAAAGGTATTTAGCAGTGTATATTTACTAAAATAATTGCATTTCCATGTTCTGTGTACTGTGGGAGACCAGATATAGTGAATGCAGGGTCCTAGGAGACCAGATATAGTGAATGCGGGGTCCTGGGAGACCAGATATAGTGAATGCGGGGTCCTGGGGGACCAGATATAGTGAGACCAGATATACTGAATGCGGGGTCCTGGGAGACCAGATATAGTGAATGCGGGGTCCTGGGAGACCAGATATAGTGAATGTGGGGTCCTGGGAGACCAGATATAGTGAATGTGGGGTCCTGGGAGATCAAGTATAGTGAATGCAGGATCCGGGGAGACCAGATATAGTGAATGCAGGATCCGGGCAGACCAGATATAGTGAATGAGGGGTCCTGGGAGACCAGATATAGTGAATGCGGGGTCCTGGGAGACCAGATATAGTGAATGCAGGGTCCTGGGTTTAGTAACACTTTAAATATCCTGGCCACCCCTCTGGACCCAACTGCACATAATGTAATGGTCTGTACAATGCAGTACATAGGAGTACCCTGGAGTATTGATCATAATGCTTGCAATGGCAAGCAGTCATTAGTCAGTGCAACCACTTTACCGCACTGACCAATGAGAAGTGCTTCTTTCATTTAAGCCACCTTACCGGAAGAAGCCTTCAGTTGGGATGGGCTGTGTATTGTGGTGCAAGGACCACCACACTAGTAGCACAGGGCATCACAGCCACTATGTGCAGCAGGATCCAGAGGGGTGGATGGGAGATTTTAATTCACCTTTTCATGAAAAGGTGAACTTACGATTTAAGAGAGGAGGAGGTGTGTGTGTTCTCTGTAAAGCCAGACCTTCTTAATTCCAAATATAGAAGAGAGATGGTAAACAGAATGGCCAGATGGGGAAGTAGCAATGGCCACCTTCAGGTCTCTCTCAGGATGGATGGTGGTCTCATAACCAAAGATGGTCTGAGATGTTGTTAGCAATACCACATGAAGCACAGACTTTTCTAATATTGGATCCTTATTGGTTCCTCCTGCGCAGGCACAGCCTTCCCCAGCCAATAACCCACCACTGTCATTCTCCAAATGATCAGTCCACAGACAATAGGATGGTTTGAGGGGTTTATTATATTATACAAGCATCTACCATTACTATACAGCAGAAAAATCCCACCCTCCTCTCACAGGCACAGTGGTCAGCATTGTGGGCATCTGCAGTGGGTGGGACTGTCAGTTGACTTTCTTAAAGTATTCCTTTGATCCTTCTGGATTAGGCTTAATCTGGAAGAGAGAAAACACATTACTTATAACACACAACATGTGACCAGCACTGTAGACTCCATGTGTAGGAGAATAATGCAAAACTACAAACCAATCACAAACAGGGAAATGTCCTAATTATAAACAATTGTCTTGGCACCAACATGTAGATGGGGGCCACTACCACATGTATGCTGCCATAGATTGTTGCCTGGAAAGGAAAATCTCGGTAAGTATTTGATACTATTTTTCAGTATATCTCCCGCACATGATTATACCTCCTCTCTGCCTCACACTTTAATAACTCAATGGGGCTGATTTACTAAAACTGGAGAGTGCAAAATCTGGTGCGGCTTTGCACAGAAACCAATCAGCTTTCATTTTTTTTTCAAAGCTTAATTGAACAAGCTGAAGTTAGACAGCAGTTTCTATGCACAGCTGCACCAGATTTTGCTCCCTCCAGTTATAGTAAATCAACCCCAGAGCCTTCCTGGACATGTGTGTGTGAACAATGACCACCAGCAGAAAAATACAGGCCGTGTGATCAAAGGGTACCTCCACCTTCACAGATCCATCAAGTGCTCCACCAAGCATCACGAAGATGGTTTTCATATCCACTGTCCATCCAGATTGATTTCTATGTCTAGCTAGTTACAGTACTAAATGAATCACATGACATGTGGATGGGATTTAAAATTTAAACAAAAAAAAGTTAAGGATCTATAATATCCTAACTTTGAAATGCTACCTCCCCAGTGATCCGGATTGTGATTTTCTGCTAAAATTTTATACAGGGCAAAGTAAATATCTTGGTTTTCCACCCACATTTTTCTATGCAGTCATGTGACCGCTAAGCTCCGTTTCCTCTGTGTAATTTGGAGGTCTGACAACAGAGCTGAATCACAAAGCAGTGATGTCACCTTCCGCGACCACTACTCTAGGGGTTGTTGGCAGGGGAATAAGTTCCCTCCCACCAGTTGCACATCTACACAGAGGAGACGGAGCTATGTGGTCACGTTATGGAATAGAAAAAAAAAAAAGAAGATATTTACTGATAAATTGTATTCAGAAAATAGGGAGCACTGGGGAGGTAGCATTTATAAGGAGGAGTATTTTATAGCCTAAACTTCTACTTTCCAAAAAAAAAAAAAAAACCAGTCCAAGACAACAAAAAGACTGCTAAAGTGGGTAAGGCCAGAAGAACTATGACAATACTCAAAAGGGGGAATGTAAAGAAATTTAGGAGATAATGAGGAACACAAAGCAAATGTGCTACTACTAGAAAGGTGAATTTGCACAAGGTGATGTCAGAACAAGTGCAAGCGATCCCTTGAAAAATACACATCCCCCTGCGGCTTTTACAGTCTTAGCTGCCAGCCAGGTGACTTGACAGGCAGCAACAACCTATCACAAAGCAGTATGAAGGTCCTGGGAGCACTTAGAGGAGAGACTTTCACCTGTTTTTTAGTGCAACGTGGCTGGAAAGCTAAGATTTTCTGGTGTCAGCCATGCACTTCTCTAGAAGGGGAGGGGGACAGTATACTTACTGTAGGAGAGTGGGGAGTCCAATTGGCTGGGCACACCTCCCCGTGTGTCTCCACATACTGAAAGGCTTTCACCAACCTCAGAGTCTCCTCCACACTTCTGCCAACTGGCAGATCGTTCACACTTATGTGTCGCACTATTCCATTAGGATCAATGATGAAAAGACCCCTGGAAGACAAAGACAGAATTTCTAAACAGGTCCTGAGGAATATACTGCCCCAGACCACACTAACTGTAAATCCAGATTAAATTAGTTAAAGAGCTACGATATCGTACTCCATAAAATACACAAGAACACTCTGAGTGCCTTGTGAATGGAGCCCATACAGTTCCTCCCTCTAACTTTTATTAGGGCACAATAAACACCATAAACAGTGGTCCAGCAGTTTACCCCACAGATTACTTAAAGTGTTACTAAAGGCTTTTTTTTGTTTTTGTTTTTTTAATTAAAATACCAAGCATGTTACACTCACCTGCTCTGTGTAATGGTACTACACAGAGCATCCCCGATCCTCCTCTTCTCGGGTCTCCTGCTGGCAATCTTGGCTTCTCCTCTTCTTAGCGTGTCCCCATAGCAAACTTCTTGCTATGGAGGCACACTGTCTGCTTGCTTCATAGCTCCACACAGCAGGGCTTAGCCCCGCCCCCACTTCCTCCTCACTGCATTTGATTGACAGTGGCTCCTGATGCTGCTCGAGTCCTGTGTAAAGAGGAAGTGAGGGGAGGAAGAGATGCAGCTGTGCACAGCGCTGAATCTCTTCTCCCCTCTTCCCCTTTCCCCAGGGAAGGGGGGGGGAGGACAGAGAAATGTAAAACTTTTTTGCCTTAATGCATGCAGTGCATAAAAGTAAAATAATGTTTTTACCTTTAGTATCAATTTAATGCATGGAAAGAATGATAAAAGCAGATTATTTCAGAGATATTTACCCAATGTGTTCTGCAACATGGTGTAGTAGCTTGGTTCACGGCAAAAGTGCACTTGGCAGTATTCAATGGACTCTAAAGGCAGCAGGTTAAGGGGCTTCTGCTTAGGTTGTGCAGATGGAAGCAGAGCTGGCGGGGGTATTCATCTACCTATAATCATTTTTACCCCCGACATCTCGGAGAGGTATTTCCCTAATGGTGATGATAATATGCATTATTCCATCTGTGAAAATTGTCAGTGACCCCTGAATGGTGGAGGGGAGAGAAAGGACAGGAAGAAAGGACAGAAGGGAGGAGGGGGAAAGAAAGGACAGAAGGGAGGAGGGGGAAAGAAAGGACAGAAGGGAGGAGGGGGAAGAAAGGACAGAGGGGAGGGATGGGGGAAAGGAAAGGACAGGAGGGGAGGGGAGGGAAAGGAAGGACAGGAGGGGAGGGGAGGGAAAGGAAGGACAGGAGGGGGAGGGGAGGGAAAGGAAGGACAGGAGGGGAGGGGAGGGAAAGGAAGGAGGGGAGGGAAAGGAAGGACAGGTGGGGAGGGAAAAGGAAGGACAGGAGGGGAGGGGAGGGAAAGGACAGGAGGGGGAGGGAGGGAAAGGAAGGACAGGAGGGGAGGGGAGGGAAAGGAAGGAGGGGAGGGAAGGGAAAGGAAAGGAAAGGACAGGAGGGGAGGGGGGGAAAGGAAGGACAGGAGGTGAGGGAAAGGTAAGGACAGGAGGGGAGGGAAAGGAAGGACAGGGGAGGGAAGGGAAAGGAAGGAGGGGAGGAATGGAAAGGACAGGAGGGGGGGAATGGAAGGACAGGAGGGGAGGGGAGGGAAGGTGTAGGGAAGGAGGGGAGGGGAGGGACAGGAGGGGAGGGGAGGGAGGGAAGGTAAGGACAGGAGGGGAGGGAAAGGGAAGGACAGGAGGGGAGGGGAGGGAAGGAAAGGAAGGACAGGGAGGGGAGGGGGGAGGGAAAGGGGAAGGACAGGAGGGGAGGGAGGGGAGGGAAAGGAAGGACAGGAGGGGTGGGGAGGGAGGGAAAAGGAAGGACAGGAGGGGAGGGGAGGGGAAAGGAAGGACAGGAGGACGGGGAGGGGAGGGGAAAGGAAGGACAGGAGGGGAGGGGAGGGGAGGGAAAGGAAGGACAGGAGGGGAGGGGAGGGAAAGGAAGGACAGGAGGGGAGGGGAGGGGAAAGGAAGGACAGGAGGGGAGGGAAAGGGAAGGACAGGAGGGGCGGGAAGGAAGGACAGGACAGAGGCGGAGGGACAGGAGGGAAAGGAAGGACGGGAGGGAGGGGAGGGGAAGGAGGAAAGGAGGGGAGGGGAGGGGAGGAAGGAAAGGACAGGTGGAGGGGAGGGGAGGGAAAGGAAGGACAGGGGAGGGGAGGGAGGGAAAGGAAGGACAGGAGGGGAGGGGAGGGGAGGGAAAGGAAGGACAGGAGGGGAGGGAAAGGGGGAAGGAAAGGAAGGACAGGAGGGGAGGGAGGGAAAGGAAGGACAGGAAGGAGGGGAGGGAAAGGGAAGGAAGGACAGGAGGGGAGGGAGGGAAAGGAAGGAAGGAGGGGAGGGGAGGGAAAGGAAGGACAGGAGGGGAGGGAGGGAAAGGAAGGAGGGGAGGGGAGGGAGGGGAAAAGGAAGGAGGGGAGGGAAAGGAAGGAAGGACAGGAGGGGAGGGAAAGAAGGACAGGAGGGGGGAGGGAAAAGGAAGGACAGGAGGGGAGGGAAAGGAATGGAAGGAAGGGGAGGGAAAGGAAGGACAGGAGGGAGGAAAGGAAGGAGGAGGGGAGGGGAGGGAAAGGAAGGACGGAGGGGAGGGAAAGGAAAGGACGGAGGGGAGGGAAAGGAAGGACGGAGGGGAGGGAAAGGAAGGACGGAGGGGAGGGAAAGGAAGGACGGAGGGGAGGGAAAGGAAGGACGGAAAGGAAAGGAAGGAGGGGAGGGAAAGGAAGGACGGAGGGGAGGGGAGGGAGGGAAGGCAAAGGGGAGGGGAAAGGAAGGATGGAAGGAAGGGGGAGGGAAAGGAAGGACGGGAAAGGAAGGGAGGGGAAGGGGAAAGGAATGAAGGGAGGGGAGGGAAAGGAAGGACGGAAGGGAGGGGAGGGAAAGGAAGGGAGGGGGGGGAGGGAGGGAAGGGAGGGGAAGGACGGTGGGAGGACGGAGGAGGGAAGGGAAAGGAAGGACGGGAGGTGAGGGGAAGGGAAAGGAAGGACGGGAGGGAAGGGAAGGACGGAATGGAGGCAAGGGAAAGGAAGGGACGGAAGGAGGGCGGGAAGGGAAAGGAAGGACGGAAGGGAGGGAAGGGAAAGGAAGGACGGAAGGGAGGGAAGGGAAAGGAAGGACGGAAGGGAGGGAAGGGAAAGGAAGGACGGAAGGGGAGGGAAGGGAAAGGAAGGACGGAAGGGAGGGAGGGAAAGGAAGAGGACGGAAGGGAGGGAAAGGAAATGAAGAGAGGGGAGGGAAAGGAAGAGAGGGGAGGGAAAGGGAGAGGGGAGTGAAAGGAAAGAGAGCGGAGGGGAGTGAAAGGAAGAGAGGGGAGGGAAGGGAGGGGAGGGAAAGGAAGGACAGAAAGGAAGGACAGAAGGGAAGGAAGAATGGATGAAGGAGAGGAAGGAATGAAAGCAAGGACAGAAGAGAGAGAAAAGTATGGACAGAGAGGAGGGAAAAAAGATGCGTCACACATTTAGAATTGAATAAATCTATAGAATAGACATAGCCTACCTTAGAGCTATGCCGGGGTTTTCCAGTAGGACACCGTAGTCACGGGATATCCGCTTTGTTAGGTCAGAGAGCAGTGGAATATTCATGTGTCCGAGTCCTCCACTCTGTAAGACAATACAGAACACTTGTTCAGACATCCTCCTATAAATAAACCCTGGATGAATGAATTCTGACTTGTGAAGGGTGTCCTCTCCACACAACACATTTACTGAATAAACTGTAGGTTCGTATAGTGGTTAGAAAAACAGGATTTATGTATTTACTGTAAAATCCTTTACCTGAAGTTCATTTAAGGACACAGGGTCACTAGATATTTTTCAATGATTGGGTTATACTGCCATCTTCAGGGGGCACTGATAAATATACCTTACCCTCCCAGCATGCTTCAGGTTTGTAGAAAAGCTTGTACCTAGCACTAGATCAGAAAAATGGGTGGAATTGGTGTCCCCTAATGAATGCCAAGAAATTGATTTTTTTTTATTACCTTAAAAAAGGGACACAGGGTCAGTAGATATTTCGATATGACTGGAACGTCCAAAAGTAGTCCAACTGAGGGATGCGAATCAAAGCAAACAAAAATGTTGAAAGGCCCACATAACAAGACTGACTTATGTCAACTTGCAGCTCAAAGAGCTGCCTGAAGCTGGCACCAGATTACACCTTAACAGCCACTTGGTAAAACTTAAAGAATATGTGAACAAACGACTAAGTAGCAGTCCTGCCAATATGGAAAACAGTTACCAAAAAATACCAAAAAGCCCAAGAGGCAATCACAGATCTGCACATTGACAGGAAAAGATGGACCTTTACCCTTAAAGCAGAACTCCGACCAAAAAGGTCTTTACATGTCCTTGTGGCTGATTTCCTGCCTTCACTGAATATATAATCAATCTTCTGGTTCACTCAGTAGTTGCTCTGAAATAGCCTATTAATTTTCAAATCAAACCGTTAATTCTTTTGGTTTCCTGTTTGTAAGACTATTGGCTGCTATGCCTCCTATTCCCCCAGCCACTGGTCTTGGCACATCCCTTCTGTAGTTCTCCAGGAAGCAGTGATGTAACTCAGCCACACTTGCCGTGGTGGGCAGACCAAGACTCAGACACATTCAACATGTACAGGCCTAGTGTAATGAAATTCCCAGAGGTTGATGGAAACTGTAGTTTCCTTTTACTGTAGATAGAGAGGATATGATGTAATCCCTGCTGTTACACCTCCTCCTTGGCAAAGCAGATGCTGTTATCTTTACAATTACAGAGATGACTTCCTGAAAATTCAATTAAACTTTTCAATGGTAAGGAATTTCACAAATGTGTTAACTTTGTTAGTGTTTTGTGTAGGGGTGTATAAATGGGTGATTTTCTTTGCCTATCCCGGAGTTCTTCTTCAGTCATGCAACACTGTACCCAAACAAAATGTATATAATTTTTCTTTCACACAAATAGAGCTTTTTTTTTAGGGGTATTTGATAACCACTGGGGTTTTTTTATTATAAAAAACAAAGGCTGAAAATTTTGAAAAAAAAAAAAACAAAAACATTTTTTACTTTCTGCTATAAAACATATCCATTAAAAAATCTAATTTCTTCATAAAATTTAGGCCAAAATGTATTCTACTACATGTCTTTTTGGTAAAAAAAATCCCAATAAGTGTATATTAATTTGTGTGAAAGTTATAGTTTCTACAAACTATGGGATATATACTGGAAGTTTTATTTATTTGCTAATAATGGCAGCGATCAGTGACTTATAGTGGGACTGTGATAAAGTGGTGGGCAATCTGACACTAAGGGTTTATTTACTAAAGCTGGAGAGTTCAAAATCAGACTCCCTTCTGCATAGAAACCAATCAGCTTCCAGGTTTCATTGCCAAAGCTTCATTGAACAAGCTGAGGTTAGAAGCTGATTGGTTTCTATGCAGAAGGGAGTCTGATTTTGGACTCTCCAGCTTTAGTAAATAAACCCCTAACTGTCATGGGTATCTCTAGTAACACTATTGCAGGGGTTAGTGCTAATAATATACACTCTCACTGTACTAATGACACTGGCTAGGAAGATGTTAACGTCTAGGGGCAATCAAGGGGGTTAACTGTGTGCCTAATAATGTGTAATGTGTTCACTGTGTAGTGTTTTCACCAAGCAATGTGCTGGTTTTTACTACCTGCTTTGCAGGGAGAAAAATAAACTACTTATTGCTGCTGTCAGTAGAGAGCTCTATGTTGTTTACCAGTTCTCTCCTGTCATTCGCTCCATTAATTAGCGGGGTCCCGGCCATAAGTCATCACCATGTGCTGGAGTGAATGGCAGCACAGCTGCGATGGAGGGCGCAAACGTGTGTGTCTGAAAGAGCCGGATCATGTACATGTAAATGATCTGGCGCAGAGAAGCCAATTTTTCCGCAATATTATATATATATACATGCAGCGGTTGGCAACTGTTAAATCAGAACTAAAGGCAAACTTTTTCTTTCCCCATATATCTCAGATGTCACCTGTATCCCATTGGGAGATTGCCCTTCACTGCCCATCCCACAGCCAAAACAGAGAGAGAGAGGAAATCTCTCCAAAGTGAGGGATTCCTGGTTGCTAACAAAATTAGTGTCCCTAATGGGATATTTCCCCTTTGTTCTTATTCTGGTGATAACCCAAAAGTTGGGATTTTCTTTTACTTTCCCTCTCTGTGATAACAGGATATATATATAGGGAGGGTGAATCTCACAAACAGGAGTAAAGAAAGCAATAATGACCTGACAGGTATTCCAATTCCCCTATACTCAATCCAAAACACAAAGGGTTAGCTCACCTTTACAGAAAAAAATGTAAAGGTGAACGAACGCGGGGCACCCATCTCCACCCCCCAGTCCCTGAAGAACTTACCTCGGGGGTTGCCAACTGTCAGCACCCCCACAGTTGATCCAGCGGTCGGGGGGATTTTAAATCCCTGCTCTTCTCCATCACCGCTTCCAGGACAGACCAGATGGGATTCTACAAGTGAGTTCCCCAATACAGCAACAGAATGCACTAGGCTGCTACATCTGCAGATCATGAACCTGATCTCGATCCAGTGGTATGTACAAAAGCCAAGGCTCTCCCTCCTCTCTTGCTCCTCATTGGCTCAGATACAGCAGCAGGAGGCTCCCACTTCTGTTAAACAGAGCTAGTTATGAACACACAAAGCAGGGCTCGGGAGCGAGCACGCATGAGTTCCCCCCAGAGCAAGGGGGGTGGAACACAGAGTGCTGCTCTGTGGAAAACAATTACAGAGCAGGTAAGTATAACATGTTTGTTAGTTTAATAAGAAAAAAAAAAAAGCCTTTACAATCACTTTAAGTAAAGGACAATGATCCAGGCTGTCGGTGGCAGATCCTTTAGTGAATCCTGAGCTGGAGCAGCCTGATGAAGCAGGGCTGCTCCCGCTGTGCTTGGGCCTGTCTGTTGTGCAGAAAACAACACAAGAGTAAACAGAGCATGGAGTGCGTGTGTACTGCTCTCTAGTTGATGAAACGGCAGTAACACATTCCAGAGCATGAACCATTTCTGCGGAGACTGACAAAATTAAGACAAAATGGCAATAGAAAAAACGAAATATAAATCATTGCTGCGCCATTAAAATAACTGGAAAGGAAGACAAAACTAATAGTGTGATAACGACCCAAGTGTTCATGCAACCACAAAGTTTCTCAATATTTATCATCATAGTCCAATCTCCACCAAACAAGCAAAAAGTGATGATCATGAAGTGGAGTGCAGACCTTCCAATTCAGAAATCCATGTGAGAAAGGTGAAGCAAACAGCACATTTTTCAAAAAGAAAGCTCTATGTCTTTTTGAGCATTGGATTTCCATACCACTGAGCCATTGGGGAACATTGACCGATCAAGAGAAGGACCCGAGGAGCTGCCTTAGAGTGCAGAGTCTGGTTCACCTGCGTAGGTATGGATGACATTTATCAAAGCGCAGTTTGATCTCTTATCTGGGGGTCATGTTTGCACGCCGAGAGTGTGCTCAAAGGGAGTGGATGGTGAAGGTGTCATCTTTTCACTTTCTGGTCTGGACTTTGATAATACATATTGAAAGACTTTGTTGTTGCATAAACACACCTGGGACATTAACCCAGACATTATCAAGGTACAAGTTTTCTTTTAGTTTGTTTCAATTATTTTATTAGCACCGCAATCTTTTATATATTTACGCAGAGGTGGATTTTTTTGCTTGCAGCTAAAAAAGGTGTAACTGGTGTGCAAATAAAAGATGGCAAAGACGTATTAATAGGTGCCTAGAGAGACTGTGCACACCATAGGCAGTGTCCCAGCTCTGTACCCAAAAACCACACTGCAGCTAACACAATACCCAAAGCTGGACAGCACCATTGGCAGAGCGCATTAGCCGAGGGTCACTTTCCAGGGTAGTCCTTAAATCATCAGTCCAATGGAACCTGGGTACAGCCACCAAGGGTTAGTCAATCCAGACAGCTGCATAGTGAGCATGGCTCAGCAGCAGGCAGATGAGGTTTTGACTGAAGGAAAAAAAAAAAAAAAAAAATCTAGAGAAAATAATAAAAAAAGGCTAGTAAAAACAAAAAAGGGCAAAACGCTACTAAAAAAAAAAAAAAAAAAAAAAAGTTTCCCCCTTTGTTTTTACTAGCCTTTTTTTTTCAGTAGAAGACATGCTTTTAGGACACCAGCAAAAACGTAAGGTAAGCTGGGAGTGGGAGGGGTTATACGTGTCTTGCTAACTGCCTTTTTTTTTGCCAGTGTCCAGTTCCTCTTGGAAGGCAGCAGCATGACCCAATCATATCAGAAAACCTACTGGTCCTGTGCCCCTTAATGAGATAAAGAAAGCATGTTACCTGCACTTTGCGTTAATGTTGCCTAAACTGTTCATCATATGAGACGCAAAACCAAGAGTGACACATTTATTCTGTAGTACTCTTCAGCACTAATATGTAAGCTGCTGGCCTATGATAATTTCACTCCTGTTAAAAGTGTATAAAGTAGCAAGGTGGAGCATCTGCTGAAATATTGCCATCAACATCGGAAGGAAGCTGAGAACACCATGTGACGCCAGAGCCTGCCATTATAAGTCATACAGGCCAGCTCAGTGACACTAACCTGTGAGCATGGGGGGGCAAGTGATCGTACACCCACCTTTCTAGGAGTATTTATCCAGGCCAGGTGGCAGAAATGAGAATCCACAGACACGGCCACTACTTCACAGTTAACATCGTGGAATTCATTGGCTTTGTCACTGAAAGCCACAATCTCGGTGGGACAGACAAAGGTGCTGCAATAGAGACAGAGAAGTTAGAGTACTGTGTAGGAAGTTACAGATTCCAGTGATATCTTTACTGTACAGAGCACACAATTCCACCATCAATGATGTCTCCACCCTTATCTACCGTGATGGTCTGAGGAACTCCCAGAGCAGGTCAGATAAGACAACAGTCAGGAGCCTCCCTTTACCCGAAGAAAAAAAACCCAAGCTGTATCTGAGCAATATATATCTGCACCTCCACCATCACCCAAAGCCATATGTGCCATCAACCACCACCTGAGTCGCATGTGCCATCTAGCACCCCATACCATCAGAGCACCATCTACCACTCTACAGCACCAGAGCCACATGTCTTCTGCCACCCCCCCACCATCAGAGCTGTATGGGACATCTGCCACCCCCCCCCCCCCCCCGCCATCAGGGCTGTATGGGACATCTGCCACCCCCCCCCCCCGCCATCAGGGCTGTACGGGACATCTGCCATCTGCCACCCCCCCCCCCGCCATCAGGGCTGTACGGGACATCTGCCACCCCCCCCCCCCGCCATCAGGGCTGTATGGGGACATCTGCCGCCACCCCCCCCATCCCCCCCCGCCATCAGGGCTGTACGGGACATCTGCCGCCACCACCCCCCCCCCCCCCCCCCCCCCCCCGCCATCAGGGCTGTATGGTCATCTGCCCCCCCGCCATCAGGGCCCTGCCCCCCCCCGCCATCAGGGCTGTATGGGACACCTGCCACCTCCCCGCCATCAGGGCTGTATAGGACCATCTGCCGCCCCCACCATCAGGGCTGTATGGGACATCTGCCGCCCCCCCCCCCCACCATCAGAGCTGTATGGGACATCTGCCACCCCCCCCACCCCCCCCTCCCACGCCATCAGGCTGCCACCCCACCCCACCACTAGGGCTGTATGGGCCATTGCCATGTGACAAATGCCACCCCCCGCCATCAGGGCTGTATGGGATATCTGCCACCCCCCCTGCCATCAGGGCTGTATGGGACATCTTGCCCACCCCCCCGCCATCAGGGCTGTATGTATGGGACATCTGCCACCCCCCCGCCATCAGGGCTGTATAGGACATCTACCACCCCCCCGCCATCAGGGCTGTATAGGACATCTGCCACCCACCCCCCCCCCCCCATTAGAGCTGTATGGGACATCTGCCACCCCACCACCACCACTAGAGCCGTATGTGACAACTGCCACCCCCCACCATCAGGGCTGTATGGGATATCTGCCACCCCGCACCACTAGAGCCATATGTGACAATTGCCACCCCCCACCATCAGGGCTGTATGGGATATCTGCCACCCCTCACACTAGAGCCATATGTGACAAACTGCCACCCCCACCATCAGGGCTGTATGGGATATCTGCCACCCCGCACCACTAGAGCCATATGTGACAATTGCCACCCCCCCACCATCAGGGCTGTATGGGATATCTGCCACCACCCCTCAACACTAGAGCCATATGTGACAACTGCCACCCCCACCATCAGGGCTGTATGGGATATCTGCCACCCCTCAGCACTAAAGCCATATGTGACAACTGCCACCCCCCATCAGAGCTGTATGGGATATCTGCTACCCCGCCACCACTAGAGCCATATGTGACAACTGCCACCCCCCCACCATCAGGGCTGTATGGGATATCTACAACCTCAACAACCCAGAGCCATTTGCAATATCTACCATTCCATCACCAACCGAGATATGTGATATCTACCCCCTACCACCAGAGCCATATGTGATATCTACTAAACCCGATCCAACTGTGCATATGTGATATTCACTACCCCGTCCAACTGTTTAGTATGTGATATCTACCATTCCCCCTTACAGTTGTGCCATATGTAACATCTACATCCTCCTAACCTTCAACTGTGTGGTTATGAGATATTTACCATTCCCCCCCACCACCACCACCAACAGAGCTCTATGTGATATCTACCACCACCATCACAGGACCCGTATATGGTAACTTCCACCATTTCTGGAGCTGAATGTGATATCTACTACCCTACCTCCCCAGCTGTGCCGTATATGATATCTACCATCCCCACAACAAGGTTGCTTGTGATATTTATCCCCCCACCTAAGCCCCTCCCCAGGAAATACTCACAAGTCCAATGGGTAAAAGAACAGCACCAGATACTTCCCCTTGAAGTCATCCAGACCTAAATCCTTGAACTCTCCATTGACAACAGCTGTCCCTTTGAACTGTGGAGCAAGCTGTGTTACGGAGGGGAAGAGCCGTGAGGAACCTGTAGAACAGAATATACAGTCACCATATACTGAAGGGGGAGAAGCTGCATTCTGCATATCATTTATATGAAATGAAAAGTTTAGCTGCTTAAAAGAATAATTAAACCAAAAGCCAAAAATATAGAATATTGCAGCTTACCAGTTCTTAGATGCACTGGCTGCATTAGTTTTCTTTTTTTCATTGTTTTTTTCCCACTTTATTTTCACCTGGTGATCCTGCCACACTTTATCTAGGCCCCTGGTGCCCAACCTGCAGCCCAGGGGCTGCATGACGTCGTTTGGCGCCTTTTGTGGGGCCCTCAGGCCCCACAAGACAATAATAAAAATTTCCCTATTGCCCTGTAATAGCAGTGATCTCTAGCAGTCTCGTGTAAAGTGTCTGCAGTCTGTGATTCTCTTGCAGCATGTTCCCAGTTTGCAACAGCTTCTTCATCACGTTCACAGTCACTCAACAGTATCCCACAGCATACCCACAGTCTCTGGCCATCTCCTGTATGACGCCCGCAGTCTCTGGCCATCTCCTGTATGACGCCCGCAGTCTCTGGCCATCTCCTGTATGACGCCCGCAGTCTCTGGCCATCTCCTGTATGACGCCCGCAGTCTCTGGCCATCTCCTGTATGACGCCCGCAGTCTCTGGCCATCTCCTGTATGACGCCCGCAGTCTCTGGCCATCTCCTGTATGACGGCCCGCAGTCTCTGGCCATCTCCTGTATGACGCCCGCAGTCTCTGGCCATCTCCTGTATGACGCCCGCAGTCTCTGGCCATCTCTTGTACGACGCCCGCAGTCTCTGGCCATCTCCTGTACGACGCCCGCAGTCTCTGGCCATCTCTCTGTAGGACGCCCGCAGTCTCTGGCCATCTCCTGTACGACGCCCGCAGTCTCTGGCCATCTCCTGTACGACGCCCGCAGTCTCTGGCCATCTCCTGTAAGACGCCCGCAGTCTCTGGCCATCTCCTGTAAGACGCCCGCAGTCTCTGGCCATCTCTTGTACAATGCCAGCAGTCTCAGGCCATCTCCTGTATGACGCCCGCAGTCTCAGGCCATCTCCTGTATGACGCATGCAGTCTCAGGCCATCTCCTGTATGACGCATGCAGTCTCAGGCCATCTCCTGTATGACGCATGCAGTCTCAGGCCATCTCCTGTATGACGCATGCAGTCTCAGGCCATCTCCTGTATGACGCATGCAGTCTCAGGCCATCTCCTGTATGACGCATGCAGTCTCTGGCCATCTCCTGTACGACGCCCGCAGTCTCTGGCCATCTCCTGTACGACGCCCGCAGTCTCTGGCCATCTCCTGTACGACGCCCGCAGTCTCTGGCCATCTCCTGTACGACGCCCGCATTCTCTGGACATCTCTTGTGCGACGCCCGCAGTCTCTGGACATCTCTTGTACGACGCCCGCAGTCTCTGGACATCTCTTGTACGACGCCCGCAGTCTCTGGACATCTCTTGTATCATGTCAGAAATCTCTGGACATCTCTTGTATCATGTCTGCAATCTCTGGCCATCTCTTGTATCACATGTTTGCAGTATTGATGATCGCCTGTATTAGGCACGTAGTTTTTTACTATATCCTGTTGCATGTCTGCTGCCTCTAGAACTGAATATTCATTGGATTTTATGTGCAACCTTTAGGTAATGTTGGATCCCTACAGTAGACCCCACACATCAAGAACATTGACCACCATTGGTCTGGGGGTATACTCTAGGGATCCACTTTATCTGAGAATAAGCCCAGTGAACTTTTTACTGTTGACCACTTTTCACACTACACAGAGTACGTATTACGGGAAAGGATAAGATGAAAATAAATGAAAAAAGAAAACTAATGTGACCACAACATGAAGCATAGGATACACATCTGATACAAAAAAGGGGATACACATCTGTCAGTGACTGGACCACTTCTCTGTTGGTTTTGCTGGATTAAATAGTGTACTAATGATCACTTTGAGATTTCCTCATTCCTGTATTGACTTCAGGCATTTGAGTCTGTGCTTTAGGATTGGATGTGCTGCCATCTAAAGGACTGCCAAAGTATTACATTTTTAATATGGGATACCCCCTCCTTAGGCCCTCAGAGGGTGCAGGTACATCAGATGTACCTATATGGCAAATAACAGCCAAAGGAGCCGTTCAGAAAATATATTGAAGGTCAGACACTCCAATGAATAAAACAAGGTCTGGCCATTTGAAGTCTCCAACCGTTTCATCAGCAGCCATCATGGTTGGTGCAACAAGGTGTTCTACCCCTCACAACTGCCTGTAATAATTCTTATACACTTACAATATCTCCTGAAGACGCGAACATCATACTCTCTGAAATATGTTGAAAGAGTAAAGTTCCACCTTCCTTTCACTTGGCCAGTTAAAGATTAGCTTTTACTTTAAAAATGTAAAGCTAATATTTTTTTTCTTAAAAAAGAGGATTATACTTACTGCTCTGTGCACTGGTATTGCACACAGCGGCTCCTTATCACCTCTTCTGGGGTCCCCCACCAGCGCTGTCTGCTCCTCTTTTTCTGTGTGTGCCCCTATAGCAAGCCGCTTGCTATAGGGGCACACATGGGCACGCTCCTGAGCTGAGCTGTGTGCATCCATAGACATAGCATGGCTTGGCCCTGCCTTCCGCTCCCTCCAGGCAGGATTTGACTGAAAGCAGCAGGAGCCAATGGCTCCTGCTGCTCTCAGAAAAAGAGGGGAGAGAAGAACTGAAGCCAGGCACAGTGCTGGATCAATACAGGACTCTGTTTAATGATAGGGGAGGGAAGAAACTGGTATGGGAAGGTTTTTCACCTTATTGCAGAGAATGCATTAGAGTAAAAACCTTTATAGTTTAGAACCACTTTAGGTAGAAGTGGCTGAGAAAATATTTGGTGGTCTGGGGAGGGAGGGGGAGGGTGGGTGATTGTGTGCCTGGGAGCGAGGGAGGGAGCGTGGGTGGGTTGGGTGGGTTTGTGTCTGGGAGCTCTCAGATGTGAGCAAAGTGTTAAATATGAAGAAACGTCTGAAAACTAGACATTTTTTATATGATCTTGGTGTATATTATATATGGTAATTATTGGCAACAATGTTTTAAAGGATGTTGTATAAATAAAATTACTGCTTTTATAAATCTATGTAGTCATCATGGTAGCCCCCCATATATTCTTCATGTGTAATGGTCATCTTATGACACTTCACACATCTGTATGTTGTGGGGGGGGGGGGGGGGGTCTCTGTAATGTGGACTTTGTGACTACACAATCTGATACATAGCCTCCCCCAACACATCTCCATCATCTGTATTTCTAGTCGTCATAAACTGTATCTAAGCCAATCAACCAAGGTGAAAACTCCAAGGGGGCAGGGCACATGAGGGTCTCCTCCCAGCAGTTACAACCAAGCCAAACAACCCAGCTAATAATTCCTTGGGAGAGGGCACAGGAAGGTCTCCCCCCCTCCCCCCAGCAGCTACAACTGAGCCAATCAACCTAGCTAATAATCCCTTAGAACCAGGACTCAGGAAGGTCTCCTCCCAGCAGCTACAACTGAGCCAATTAGCCCAGGTATTCATCCCTTTGGGGCAGGACTCAGGAAGGTCTCTTCCCAGCAGCTAAAATGAGCCAATCAACCCAGGTAATAACTCCTTGGGGGTGGGATTAGAGGGTAGAGCACAGGGAGGTCTCCTCTTAGCGGCTACAACTGAGGCCCCAGCCCTCCATACAGAAGTGTAAAGGGGTAGCAGACATCAGAATACTCCGTGTATAGAGGTACACAGACCAATAAGAACAGGACTCACTGGTGCTGAAATGAAACTTTGGATTAGCACAGAGGACAGCGCGGCCTGTACTTGCTCCAGGGATGACAGAACGTGAAATGGAGGCGGCTGCAGCGCCGATTACCTGCAAACAGAGAAACAGAGGTGATCTTCTTTTAGATCTCTATATCCCCTCCCCCAAACCAAACTCCAGCAAATCTATGTGTTTCCCTGCCAGCCCAACAGATCTCTAAATTCCCCCTCCCCCAATACTCCAGCACATTTCTATGTCTTTCCTGATACCATAACAGATCTCTATGTCTTCCCGACACTCCAGCAAATCTCTGTATGCCCTCTGACAGCCAATCATAGTGCAGGGATTATATGGCAGAGATCTGTTATAGGATGACTGGACCACCACAGATATCCCAAAAGTTACACAGCGGGAGACTTGTGCAACAGGTGGGTGCAGTGGTATATTCCCAGGCAATTCCCCCCTGTATAGTGCGTGTAATGGTATATTCCCAGGCAATTCCCCTCTGTATAGTGCGTGTAATGGTATATTCCCAGGTAACTTGTCCCCTGTAGAGTATGTGCAGTGGTAGATTCCAAAGTAATTACCCCCTGTAGTGTACATTGGTATATTCCCAGGCAATTCCCCACTGTATAGTGCGTGTAATGGTATATTCCCAGGTAATCCACCCTCCCCCATATACTAAGCGTAATGGTATATTCCCAGGCAATTTCCCCCCCGTATAGTGTGTGTGTGATTGTATATTCCCAGGTAATCCCCCCTTCCCCTATATAATAAGTGTAATGGTATATTCCAAGGCAATTCCCCTTCCCCCGTATAGTGTGTGCAGTGGTATATTCCCAGACAATCCCCCCCCTCGTATAATTATATATTAAGACAATTCCCCACTGTATAGTGCGTGTAATGGTATATTCCCAGGTAACTCGTCCCCTGTAGTGTATGTGCAGTGGTAGATTCCAAAGTAATTACCCCCTGTAGTGTACATTGGTATATTCCCAGGCAATTTCCCCCCTCCCCATATAGTGTGTGTAATTATTATTATTATTATACAGGATTTATATAGCGCCAACAGTTTGCTCAGCGCTTTACAATATAACGGGAGACAATACAGCAACAATACAGTTCAATACAAGAGGGATTTGAGGGCCCTGCTCCTTGGAGCTTACAATCTAGGAGGGAGGGGCTAGTGGTACAAAAGGTAGTAATTGTGGGGGATGGACTGGTTGGAAGAGTAGAAGATTCCAGTATTAGGTATTAGCTGAGGGCAGGATAGGCTTTCCTGAAGAGATTTTCAGAGATCGCCTACAAGTGAGCAGAGAAGCCGATAGTCTGATAAATTGGGGTAGAGAGTTCCATAGGATGGGGGAAGCTCTGGAGAAGTCCTGGAGACGAGCATGGGAGGAGGAGACAAGGGAGCTAGAGAGCAGGAGGTCTTGCGAAGAGCACGGTTTGGGTGATATTTGGAGACAAGATCGGTGATGTAATTTGGGGCAGAGTTATAAATGGCTTTATACGTTATTGTTAATGTTTTGAATTTTATCCGTTGGGCAATGGGAAGCCAGTGGAGGGACTGGCAGAGAGGGGTGGCAGATACAGAACAGTTAGTAAGGTGGATGAGTCTGGCAGCAGCATTCATGATAGACTGAAGAGGGGATAGCCTGCGATGAGGTCGGCCAATGAGGAGGGAGTTACAATAGTCAAGGCGAGAGATAACAAGGGAGTGAATACGTTGCTTAGTGGTTTCCGAGGTTAGGAACGGACGTATCTTGGAGATGTTGTGGAGGTGAAGTCTACATGATTTGGACAGCGATTGGATTTGGGACTGAAAGGACAGATGGGAGTCTAGGGTTACACCTAGTACCCTGGCATGAGGGGAGGGACTGATGATTGTGTTATTGATCTTGATGGAGAAGTCAGGGGAGGGGGCACGGGCTGGGGGGAATACTAAGAACTCAGTTTTGGAAAGATTGAGTTTGAGGAAGTGGAGTGACATCCATGCCAATATGTCACTTAGTAGGTTAGTCATGCGAGAGGAGACTGAAGGGGTGAGGTGAGGGGTAGAAAGATAGATTTGTGTTTCATCAGCTTAGAGATAATACTTAAAGCCATGGGAGTTTATCAAGTGACCAAGGGAGGAGGTGTAGATGGAGAAGAGAAGAGGTCCAAGGACAGAACCTTGAGGGACCCCTACAGAAAGAGGGAGTGAAGTGAATAGGTAACGCTGAAGGAGCACTGCGATAGGTAGGAGGAGAACCAGGAGAGAGCAGAGTCACTGAGGCCAAGAGAGTGGAGTTTTTTGAGGAGGAGGGGATGGTCAACCGTATCAAAAGCCGCAGAGAGGTCAAGTAGTAAGAGTACGGAGTAGTGCCCATTGGTTTTAGCTGTTAGTAGATCATTAGTGAGTTTTAGTAGGGCAGCTTCAGTGGAGTGTAGTGAGCGAAAGCCAGACTGTAAAGGGTCAAGAAGGTTGTTGTCGGTGAGGTGGGAGCTCAAGCGATTGTAGACTAAGCGTTCTAGGAGTTTAGAGGTGAACAGGAGTAGGGAGATGGGTCTTATGTTGTTCAGGTTGGTGGGGTCCAGGGAGGGTTTTTTAAGTATGGGAGTGATGTGTGCATGCTTTAGAGGGGAGGGGAAGGCACCGTTAGAGAGGGAGAGATTGAAGATGTGCGTGAGGGAGCATAGGATGGAAGAAGAGAGTGACCATAGTAGTTGTGAGGGGGACAGGATCCAGGGGGCAGGTAGTGAGATGGGCTTCTGAGAAAACCTTAGTGACCTCTTCGGTAGTAGCAAGGTCAAAAGAGGAAAGTGTTGAGGGAGGTTTAGTATAAGGTATGCTAAGAGGGATGGATGTCTGTGCAGTGGCGATGCCCCTACGAACTGCGTCAGTCTTGTTTTTTAAATGATTTGCAATCTCGTGAGCATTGAGTGAGGTACTGGGTGGAGGTGGAGAAAGTAGAGAGTTAAAAGTAGAGAAGAGACGATGAGGACTGGATGACAAGGTATTATTATACAGTATTTATACAGTGCTAAAAGGTTTGCTCAGCGCTTTACATTATAGTGGGGGACAGAACATGAGACAATACAGTAACAAAACACGAGGGGGTCAAGGGCCCTGCTCTTTCGAGCTTACAATCTAGGAGGGAGGGGATAATGGTACAGGAGGAAGTGGCTGTGGGGGATGGAGTGGTAGGAGGAGTGGAGGAGATCGGCTGTTAGGTGAGGGCGGGGTAGGCTTCCCTGAAGAGATGGGCTTTCAGGGTGTGCCTAAAGGTGAGGAGGGTAGGTGGATGGATCTTATGGATTGGGGTAGTAAGTTCCAGAGGGTGGGGGAAGTCATGGAGAAGTCCTGCAATCGGGCGTGGGAGGTGTGAGACCAGGGAGCTAGAAAGTAGGAGGTCTTGGGAGGAGCGAAGATTACGGGTTGGGTGATATTTGGGTATCAGGTCGGTGAGGTAGTTTGGGGCAGCGTTATGAATGGCTTTATATGTCTGTGTTAGTAGTTTGAATTTTATGCGTTGGGCAATCGGGAGCCAGAGGAGGGAATGACAGAGGGGGGTGGCAGAAGCAGAGCGGTTGGTAAGGTGGATGAGTCTGGCCACTGAGTTCAGGATAGACTGAAGCGGGGATGTGATGAGGCAGGCTGGTGAGAAGGGAGATGCAGTAGTCCAGACCTGAGATAATAATGGAGTGAACGAGTTGTTTAGTAGTGTCAGGGGTTAGGAACGGTTGTATTTTGGAGATATTGCGGAGGTGGAGCCTGCATGAGTTTGCCAACGATTGGACATGGGGTTGGAAGGACAGGTTTAAGTCTAGAGTGACACCTAGGACTTTGGCTTGCGGGGTGGGACTGATGGTGGCATTGTTGGTCGTGATATAGAGGGGGGGGCGCGGGCTGGGGGGAAAATCAGGAGCTCGGTTTTGGAAAGGTTCAATTTGAGGAAATGGAGAGACATCCAGTCCGATATGTCATTTAGGAGGTGGGCGATGCGGGCGAAGACTGAAGGGGTGAGGCAAGGGGTGGAGAGGTAAATTTGCATGTCATCGGCGTAGAGGTGATAGTTGAAGCCGTGGGAATGTGTCACTTTGCCGAGGGAGGAGGTGGAGATGGAGAAGAGAAGGGCCCGAGGACAGAGCCTTGGGGGACCCCAACAGAGAGGGGGAGTGAGGGGGAGGTGGTAGCGTTATAGGTAACGCTGAAGGAGCGTTGGGATTGATAGGAGGAGAGCCAGGAGAGAGCGGAGTCTCTGAGGTCAAGGGAGTGCAGTTTATTAAGGAGGAGGGGGTGGTCAACTGTGTCGAAGGCCGCGGAGAGGTCGAGGAGTAGGAGCACTGAGTAGTGGCCATTAGCTTTGGCGGTTAGCAGGTCATTAGTGATTTTGAGTAGGGCAGTTTCGGTGGAGTGTAGGGGACGGAAGCCAGACTGTAGTGGATCATGGAGGTTGTTATCAGTGAGGTGGGCGCTTAGGCGATTTTAGACTAAGCGCTCAAGGAGCTTGGAAGTAAATGGCAGCAGGGAGATGGGTCTAAGGTTGTTCAGGTCAGTGGGGTCCAGGGGGGGTTTTTTGAGTATGGGGGTGATGTGCGCGTGCTTTAGGGGGAGGGGAATGTGCCAGTAGAGAGGTAGAGATTGAAGATGTGGGTGAAGGAGTGTAGGATGGAGGAGTAGGGAAACTGGAGGAGTTGTGTGGGGACACCCCCCCATAGTGAGTGTAATGGTATATTCCCAAGTAATCCCCTCTTCCCCATATAGTAAGTGTAATAGTACATTCCCATGTAATTACCCCTGTATAGTGTCTGCAGTGGTATAGTCCCAAGTAACCCCCCCCCCCCCCCATAAAGTGTGTGTAGTGGTATATTCTCAGGTAATCCCCCCTCCATACAGTATGTGTGTAATGGTACATTCTCAGGTAATCCCCCTGTATAGCATGTGTAATAGTACAATCTCAGGTCATTAAACCCCCCCCCCCCCCCTTTATAGTGTAGAGGCAGCCTTCTCAGGTAATCCCCCATAGTGTGTGTAGTGGTATATCCCCGTAGTATACAGTGGTACGTTTCTGGTATCCTCCCTGTGCTGTACAGTGGTAGCTTCCTGCCCATACCATGATGCACATGCTGCTCGGACACTCCCCGCACTCACCCTTCTAGTCAGTAACCTTCCCCACGAGGCCGCCATGTTTCCTGGTCAGAATCTGAATGCTAACTACTGAGAGCCAGAGGGGGCGGAGCCAAGGAAAACGGTATATCCTATTGGCTGCGCATTCCTCATCATTGGGTTACCAGTTTTGTGGGCGGGATAAGAGGGATATTACTGGATGGTTGGAAGTAGTGGGCGGGGACTGGGAGTAAGACAATTTTCCGAGTGCCCCGTGAGTGAGACAAACGGAGGGGCGGACTGTGATGTGGGGGGATGGACAGCGATGTCCGAGGGAGGGGGCGGACCGTGATGTGGGGGGGATGGACAGCGATGTCCGAGGGAGGGGCGGACTGTGATGTGGGGGATGGACAGCGATGTCCGAGGGAGGGGCGGACTGTGATGTGGGGGGAGGGATGGGCCGCGATGGCGGGGGGAGGGGGCGGACTGTGATGTGGGGGATGGACAGCGATGTCCGAGGGAGGGGCGGACTGTGATGTGGGGGGGAGGGATGGGCCGCGATGTTCGGGGGAGGGGCGGATTGTGATGTAGGGGGGAGGGACGGACCGCGATGGCGGGGGGAGGGGCGGACGGTGATGTGGGGGGGGACTATGATATCGGGGGGAGGGGCGGACTGTGACGTCCAGCTGTCAGTCTCCGTACATCCAGTGGAGGTGTTTGCTCCATGTCACTTGGCTTCCCAGGCATTGTTTTTGCACACATTAGGCTCCCACCTATGCGGTTTGCGTTTGATCCGTTTCTGCATTGCATTTTTTATGCGTTTTGAGGGGTTTTGTGTTTTACAACTTGTTGCTGGGCAGAATAAATAGCAAAATGCATCAACACCGTGTCCAAGACGCACTACATGCTTCTCTGCAGCGTCTCCATTGAAGTCAGTTTTGTGTTAAAAAAAGTCCCTGACCCTTCCCAAAAAAAACGCACCAGGTGAAAACGCGAGATGTGAATGTGTCCCACAGGAGATCATGTTAAATGGACTGCTGTGCGTTTCTGCAAAATGCTTAGGTGTGAACCTAGACTTATAGAAACGCAGTCCAGATGCGTTCCGGATGTGTTTTTGCATGTGCATTTTTTTATACATACTTTTTTAGCATGTTGTGCATTTTTTATGCGTTTTTTATGCATTCCAGCTAGTTTTTCCCCTTTTTCTTCAGTTTAAATAGGGACATGTGCATTCCAGCGCGTTTCAATGCATTTTATATGTATTTTCCAGTACAGTTCAGTGCAGAATGCTTGTTCTACTTTTGTTTTTGCAACCAGAACACACTGGAACTACAAGCACTGATGTGAACTATGACATTGACAACCATATCACCTACTTTCTGTGCATTTTGGATGCAGAAAAAAAGCAACTGAAACGCATGTAATGTGAACTGGCCCTAAGGCTAGGTTCACACCTATGCAGTTTGCGTTTGATGCATTTTTTATGTCTTTGTTTTTTTTTTCAACTTGTTGCTAGGCAGAATAAAAGGCAAAACGCATAAAAAACGCACTACATGCTTTTCTGCAGCGTCTCCAAGTCTATAGAACCAAAAATGCAACGTTTTTAATTTTAAAAAGCCCCTGACCCTTTCCAAAAAATGCACCGGGTGAAAATGCAGAGATGTGAACCTGTCCCATAGGAAATCGTGTTAAATGGACTGCTGTGCGTTTCTGCAAAACGCATAAGTTTGAACCTAGACTTTTTTCTGCATCCAAAATGCACAGAAAGTAGGTTATATGGTTGTTAATGTCATAGTTCACATCAATGCTTGCAGTTCCAGTTGCAGAAAAAGAAAGTAGAACAGGCTGCATTTTTCCTGCACAGAACTGCATTGGAACACAGTAAAATGCATCAAAAACGCACCGGAACGCACACGTCCCTATTTAAACTGAAGAAAAAGAGGGAAAAATGAATCAAAAGCATCAAAAATGCACCAGAACATGTCAAAATGAACACATGCAGAAACGCACCCAGAACACATCTGGATTGCATTTCTATAGTGTGAACCGGCCCTAAAAATATGAAATCTTTGCTAGAAAATGCTGCAAACCCCCCAAACTGTATATTTTCTGAAAGCAGAGCCCCCAGAGAATACAATGGCAGTTCTTGCAATTTTTATGTCACCTCTGCTTCTCCCCTCCCATCTGCAGCTCACCTCTGCTCACTCAGCTCTGCTCCTCCCCTCCGCAGCTCAGCTCTGCTTCTCCCCTCCCATCCGCAGCTCAGCTCTGCTTCTCCCCTCCCATCCGCAGCTCACTGCTCCTCCCCCTCTGCTCACCTCCCCTCCCATCCGCAGCTCACCTCTGCTCCTCCCCTCCCATCCGCAGCTCACCTCTGCTTCTCCCCTCCCATCCACAGCTCACCTCTGCTCCTCCCCTCCCATCCGCAGCTCACCTCTGCTCCTCCTCTCCCATCCGCAGCTCACCTCTGCTCCTCCCCTCCCATCCGCAACTCACCTCTGCTTCTCCCATCCACAGCTCACCTCTGCTTCTCCCATCCACAGCTCACCTCTGCTCCTCCCCTCCCATCCACAGCTCACCTCTACTTCTCCCATCCACAGCTCACCTCTGCTCCTCCCCTCCCATCCGCAGCTCACCTCTGCTCCTCCACTCCCATCAACAGCTCACCTCTGCTTCTCCCCTCCCATCCACAGCTCACCTCTGCTCCTCCCCTCCCATCCGCAGCTCACCTCTGCTCCTCCCCTCCCATCCACAGCTCACCTCTGCTTCTCCCATCCGCAGCTCACCTCTGCTCCTTCCCTCCCATCCACAGCTCACCTCTGCTTCTCCCATCTGCAGCTCACCTCTGCTTCTCCCATCCACACTCAAAAAAAATGGCAGTTGACTAGTGCAAAACCGCCTGGGAAGTGGTTAATCAAATCCTATGTGGAATAATATATTACTACAAATGTAAATGCGATATTGTATTTATTAGATCACTTAGATCATGGAAAAGGTTGACGTTGACAGAGTGAACATGTTGCAATCACATTAAAATCAAAGAATTAAAATAAAGAACTGTTCGACGTCTTCAAAAACGGCTGTATAGGCAAAAATGACCAATATGAGGCAATGGAGTTTCCTTTCTGTATTCATCTGCAGTGAAGTTCCATATATAGTAGCCTAGTGGAATCGTTTCCTTCTTTAAATTTTCCTTCATGAACACCACAGTAAAAATGAATGAACTCCTAGGAATTGAATAATGGATAATGATGAATACAAAGGAGATAGGATAATAATCTTGACATCAGCCTAATAGGATTCACATATTCAGATTAATTGAGTATACAGTATATCTCTCTTTACCTTCTCAATGACTGTTCCATGCTGTGTGCATAGTGGGTATAAACCTTCATGGATAGTCAACATTGGTGGAGATGAATCCACAATAAGGAGTGACCCCACCCCCCATTGACTTCTCTATCACATCCAACAACACCACCATCAAACCCGCCCGCAGGCCAGAGTACTTGGTGTCATTCTGGACTCCAACCTATCCTTCCAGCCCCAAGTCCAATCTTTAACAAACTCGTGCAGACTCCACCTCCGCAACATCGCCAAAATCCGCACGTTCCTAACCCCAGAAACCACTAAACAGCTCATCCACTCCCTCATCATATCACGACTCGATTACTGCAACTCCCTCCTTACTGGCCTGCCTCGCCGCTGGCTATCCCCGCTTCAGTCGATCCTGAATACGGCTGCCAGACTCATTCACCTTTCCAACCGCTCCGTTTCCACCACCCCCCTCTGCCAATCCCTCCACTGGCTTCCGATTGCGCAACGGATCAAATTCAAAATCCTAACACTGACGTACAAAGCTGTCCACCATACTGCCCTGAACTACATCACCGACCTAATATCCAAGTACCACCCAACACGCACACTCTGCTCCTCACAAGACCTCCTTCTCTCTAGTTCCCTGGTCTCCTCCTCCTCCCATGCCCGCCTCCAGGACTTCTCCAGGGTGTCACCCATCCTCTGGAACTCCCTGCCCCAACCCATCAGATTATCACCTACTCTCCTCTCCTTTAGGCGCACCCTGAAAACCCATCTCTTCAGGGAAGCCTACCCCACCCCCTGCTAACTTGCCGACCTCCTCCACTCTTCTTACCACTCCATCCCCCACAGCTATCTCCTCCTGTGCCACCATCCCCTCCCTCCTAGATTGTAAGCTCGAAAGAGCAGGGCCCTCAATCCCCTCATGTTTTGCATTGTATTGGTATTGTTCTGTCACATGTTCTGTCCCCCTTTGTAATGTACAGCGCTGAGCGAACTATTGGCGCTTTATAAATACTGTATAATAATAATAATAGTAATAATAAAGTAAATACCAATGGTGCTATAGTGCCATGAGATGAGTCAATGTGAATTACCATGAGGAAGTTCAGAAAACATTCCCTTCACTGTAGATGTGAAAAAACATTGATGTATTGGTAAAGGAGTGTCAGTCCAGAGTGGTTAGTATGGATATTTCAATAGAAGGCATTCAAACATCAATGGTTCCTTTAATAAATGCCCCTCTAGGGGTTCCAAAAATTACTCTTTTTTTGCAGAGTTGGTGCGATTCCTATAAGAATGTGTGAGACAGATGTCCCATATCGCGAGTTGTGTAACACACAGTATATAGTACATACCTAGTAAGTCCAAACATTCCCCTCAGTCTGGGGCTTCAAGCAAACATATAGATATATAGGGTATAACTCCCGTTTGTAAAAATTGTAGCTTAGCCTAACACACTATTACTTGCCACCGGTGGAAGTGAGTAAAGCCACTTGAATCGCAAAAAATCTCCTTTTTTGGTGATTCAAGTTGCCTTGTTAGTTTCTACATAGCCTCATGCTTATCCAAGATGGAGCTGCAACGCTTGCTTCTTTTCCCTCGTGGATACCGCAGCCTATGAAGACGCAGAGCGTGATGATGTCATTACGTTGACGCGTTTCATCCACCAATCATCGCAGACTTCAACAGAACTGGGAGGGGACAACTCATCCATTGCCTTAATAAATGTAAAACACTAATTTTCCCAACTATTTATAAGC